TATACTGTTATTGTTAATATGATTACATTTAAGAAAGTGATTGGCATAACTAAAAGTATCTAGTTGTTTTTCGTAGGCATTTTCGTGTTCCTTGAGTCTGAACTTGAAAGCTCTACCTGTCTGTCCTCTATATTTCTTATCACAAGAACCACAACTAAGTTCGTAAATACCTGATTTGGTTTTTTTTTCCATCTGATCTTTATTATTTTTGATGATAGTTTGTAAAGTTTAGTTTGATTTCAAAGCTATGTTGATATTGTACTTCTTCAAGTGTTGTTTAATCTTTTCTTACAATTTGCCTACGTAAGTAATTACATGATACGGTGCAGTTTCTCTTGCGGACTTAGGGAAAACTTTGTTTATAGCTTTCTTATACTGTATATTTTTAATTAACTTGTCGATAATGTTGGAATCATAGCCATTATTGTGAGCTATTTGTTTAATTATTTGTAATTCTTTAGTATAGTTCTCAGAGTTTAAAGGTATGGAGAGGAGTCTGTGAATATAACTATTGTCGACCACGGCGCAACGTGTATGTTCTTGAGAGAGCGCAGTATATTGTTAAGTCTTGATGTACATCTGTCTGACGAAGGTATTGTGATACCGAAACAGCTGTAACACGTTTTTAACGAATAAAGTGAAGATCGACAGTACATAATAAGTCTACTTTTTCATTTAATCTTGTATCAAAGACATTTTACTGCAACTTTTTTGTAAACATTTTATCAGACAACCGCTGCCAACCGACACCGAGCTTCTCAAATTTTTTTTGCTACATCTCAATGACATAAAATGTCTGGCAATTTCGTCATTCTTTTTTATATCAGTGGAAAAATTATCGAGAAATTTTTGAAAACCTAAACCGTTGCTCATGTAAAACAAAAACATCAAACAAAACTGACTACATACGTTTGAAGATATGCTTTGTAACTGTTGACATTCCAACGCTGTTTCTTACAATTTTTACGAAATCAATTAATGTGCTACGGTACATAAGGTTGAATACCATAGCTATCGAAATATAAACCACTGGAATGTGCATCAACGTATATAGCATGCATACCTGGTTTTGTGTGATCGTCAGTGTTAATTACAAGTACTGTCGGTTTCGTCCACACCCGTGCACGGAAAGACCTTTTTCATTGAAAATCCCCTACTACATTCAGTTACGAGTTTTTAATAGCTTGGTAAGGTTTTTTCCCGTACCAGGTCCGTCTAAAACCTACGCTCGAAAATGTTGGACATGTGAAGTCTTCTTCTACTGGCAAATAAGATTATATTAATGCTAGGTACGGTATTTTCTTTCTATTGTCTCACTAAAAATCCTCTACCACATGAAGTTATGTGTTTGTCATAGCTTGGTAAGGATTTTTCCCGTACCAGGTCTACTTAAAACCTACACTCAAATACGTTAGTATTAGGTTATGTTATTGTACTGTTAGGTATACTGTATATTTACTCTCCAAGTATATATATCAGTGTCAGATTTTAAGAGGCTTACTATACACACACACGTATGCGCTCGCGCGCGCGCGCGTGTGTGTGTGTGTGTCCGCACGCGCGCATGTATGTATACATTTAAAAATATATAATAAGTACTGCTCTGCGCACTATAGTACGTCGTATACACTGACTGGGTGCATCTACTTTTCACGGCTACTGATGGTAAGGGAAAAAACCGTACCACCACCAATAAATAGTCCTACTGATGTCCTAAAATCAGTATACTCAGTAAATAATTTAAGATCACTAAAGGTGAGACTAAAAATTTCTGTGTAAGTAAGCAATAAATATAACCTTGGTCTAGTACTTCTTGTGATCAAATATTGAAGTAAGGGATTTTAAATGAAAAAGGTCTTTCCGTGTGGGATCTGATCAGCTGGGAACACACCAGTGGTACGCGTTGTGATTTGCGACAGGATCTGCAGTATCTGTAGGCTGTCCATTACGTTAACGGAGCCAAGATTTCAGTTTATGAGCGTTATTTACCGCACACAGATATTTTTGATGATTTGATTTTAATGCATGATGCATACAATATACAACCAATGATAAATCTTTTAAGGGCGGACAGTCAATATCGTTTTCTAAATTTATAACTTGACAAAGAGCTATTTCATATAAATCGTACCACTTTTCGCAACCTCTGACATAAATTTTTCTCGCACTTCTTCCAATTTCATTCAAAATTTTAAAAATTGCTCTTAAAGGTACTTCACCCTCAAAGAAATAAAGTCCATGATAATGTCTGGACAACCAAACATTTTGTCATTGCGCCTCCTTACTCAATTTTTGCAAACGACAAGGAGGTGTCACACCCAATGTGCGGAAAAGTCATTGTTCAAAGGAACGATAGCAACTTTTTTCAGTACCATTACGTCTTTCTTCACCTTGAAATACCGAATGTTGACTACGAGCTCCATTGCGATTTATGGATGATTGAGCTTACCAGCAGCAACTAACCCGAGAGACGTTTAGCGTGTCCGAGTAGTGAGTGTAAGTATAATATATATAGTTAGTAGCACCATCTAACCGCTAAAGTCGACCATGATTTGACGTAATGCATCGATTTCGAGAATAATCTAGTACTCGGCATACACTATACAATTAACAGTCAAAGTTAAATCTTTGGCAAATCGAACGTCCAATCTAACACTGCCGTGTTTAGTTAGATTCCAATGAAAACATTCGTTGGCCGATAAATCTGGCGTTAAATCGAAAGCAAAGAGATCAATGTGGTTTCCTTCACTGAGAAAGTGAACACCCGTGCCCGAAAACAAGGTATGATAAGCATCTACGTATAAATTATTCGTTTCAAAGTCTGGCTGTAATGGTTTGGAAGAAACTTGAACACCGTCAATGTACAATCAAAGAAAATTTATATTGAAATGATGAAAATTAAACGGATTAATAGTACGATCGCCATTATAAGCTTGATTTTTCACGAAACCGACGATTATCCGCTTAGGTAACTGGCCCAAAATAATATTATCTGAAGTTTCGCCATGAATACCACTGTGCATCGTCACAGCTTTCACTTTGACATGCGTGAGTGGATATTTTGCTGTACTCTTTGACAGAGCTTTCGTATGGGCTAATAAAACAGATGGGCTTATTTTAACGCGTCTCACTAAAAGATTTGCTTCTTCGATACGAACGGAACCCAAGTTTGAAGTTTGTATGAGACAAAATGCATCGCGAGATCTTACTAATCGCATTCTCACCTCGATACTATTGACGAGTAATTTTTCCGGATTGCATACATCGCAATGAAGATGACCAATCAGACCAATCGATTTCTTTGCTGGTAGTAGTGTACGTTGCTTGACAAGGCCTGCGTTGGCATCCAACACATCGTCCATCTTCGTTGCCGTATCGTCGCACCATAATGCAATCGTTAAATGGGATGATTTTTCCGCAGGACCGTAATTCCATAAAGTTTCCAAATACGCTCATAGATTGAACAAAAAATGCATAAAATCATTGATTGGTCCCGTCTTTGAGATTTTAGATGCTCGTCAGTGTTTAATTCTTCATCTTCATTGACGGCCAACTTGACACGAAGACTGAGCATCGTATGTGCAAGATCGATGTATTCGTCACCATTACCTGGTATGACAAATTAGATCGGTGAATCATCCGTGAGCGATGATATCGGCTTGTATTGAATCCAGTGCGATCCCTAGATAGTTTTTTGAGTTGGTGGAGTATCAAACAAAAGAAGCTCAGACTTTAAGCACTCACATGAGTGACTGTGTAAAAAAGCCATTTTAAAAAAATTTAACTTTCAAAAATATCTTTTGCAGTTCTCTGTCCCTTCTTTTTTTTTTTTTTTATTGTTCTCTTTTTCTTCTTTTTATCTTCCTTACACGTTTTCTTAGTTTTTTTGATTTTACTCTTACGCCGACCACGCCTTGACTGCACAGTTCTACAAAGCAACTGCAACTGAAATGGTTCATCGAGTCGTTCAAGTTTATATCCCGAACCTTTCATCAGATTGTCCAATTTTTCCTCGGCTTTTCTCTTCAGCGTATTACCAGACTCCATCACACGAGTGTGGAATGTCTATTTGAAAGGTAAATATTATTAGCGGTGACGTCAGACATAATGTTCATACCTGCACGAACAGCTTCTTTGCCAACAGCTTTGGCACCTCGTTTAATGAGTGGTATAACTCATCGAAATACTCCAGCAAGAAACGATTCGTTTAAAGTAATGCGTTACCATCAGCGTCCCTAAGTCAAATGGTATGGGGGCACCGATCGGGTCCCTTATATTGATTTCGATGTTGTAAAAGTAGTTAAACAATAATGGTATGTACATAGGTACCGAGAAAATTTTATTTTTGACACAACCATAGACGTAACCTTGAAGATCCAACGACACCGCCTGCAAAAAACGCGATTGAACGTCTCTTACAGTGTATGGTTCACAGATGTCGCTGTAAATCATGAGCATCGACAGTAAAGTATAGGAGAGATTTGCTGGATGAATGGATCAAATTTCATTGTTTTCCAAGAAAAGACTCGTTGCACTTCCAAAGCCCAAGACTTTACGTAATTTTTCGAACAATAGTAAATAGCGATACATATATTCACTGCGCGCTGTTTTGGAACAGACTAACTTAGCCACGACGTAACCGCCCTTTTTCAAACTAAAAATCACGCGATCTCGTGTGGTATCAAAACTATTGATTTCTTGTATCATTTATTCGATATTTGTGTACAGGCCGGGTCGTATGTAATTATCTACATGAATTACAGGACGTTCTGTGTGTACATTATTGTATAGTCATGGTATGTATTTTAGGGTAATTTTACTTTCGTTACTTTTTATCGCATGTTGAAACGTCAATGGTAATTGAATCTCTGTTATACCAACATTCCATCGACCTTGCAAACTAATTTGCTGAGGTAATTTTGTCACGTAGTGCGCGGTAGTATTATCAGGATAATACTGCATGCTACTGTTGTTAGGCAACACAACGTGAAATTCGTCCTTCATTTTATATCTTTTAAATAATAACCTTTCACCCAGGAATTAAATTTTTTAGGATATCCCTTCCAGCTGACAAAAAATTCTTTAGAACGTCCTTTACCTTGACTTTTCAGTATCTTGTCAACCTCGAAGAAGCTCTCGTTCAATTCCTTACGCACTTTGCTCAACTCTCCCTCGTAAAAAAAACTATCAATGTCTTTGTCAGCCAAATCTCTGAGAAAATAAACTGGAGGTTGTTGTATGCAAGAGATACGTAAAATTCTAAACAACTCTAAGGTCCAACCGCTTTCGTAATCTTTGGCAAATACACTTCTCGTCTTACTGATACGAACTAAATCTCCAACGTTGTACCTTGGATTCTTATAAATATGCCTGTCTTAACGTTGCTTTATGTTTTCTCATGCTCGTGCAACATTGTGCAAAGTCACGTCAGCTGGCGCCATCTTTGTTGACGAATCCTTCGTGCGGTTGTATGACTATGTTATACTTGGAAGAATGTCTATGAAGCGTCGATTGTTTGTGTACGTAAAGTATCGCCCCATTCTTTCTTTAATAATTCTTATCAAACCTTCGGCTGTATCTGCTTCTTATCAAGCCTTTGTCTGTGGGCTACGTACTACTCTGTATTTAATTTCATTTTCTCGTAAAACGGATTGCATTTCACAAACTACAAATTCTTTACCTTTATCCGTTTAGAGACACATTGGTGCACGATCGTCACTTCTTGATAAAATATGTTAAAATGCTTTGGCGACGTTTTTCGATGTTTTATCCTTCATAGGTACCACCCAAGCGCATTTGCTGACAACATCGATGACAACGAGAACATAAGCGTAGCCATCATTGTAAGTTTTTAAGGTTCTCAAGTCCATCAAATCAGCTTCCCACACGTCGTCAATGTTACACACGTTATAGCTTCTTCTGGGAAAGCGATTTCTTGTAGGCCTATGTAAATTATAGGTATCTTGACTCTCTAGCCAACTATTAACGTTTGATCGCAATAATTTACTTTTCACAGCACTTCCAAGTTTGTTACCACCAGCGTATGCAGTTAGTCATGCCACTTCGTAGTAAAGTTTTTGCAAAGTCTTATGCACTATTCTTTTTTTTTTTCTTCTTTTTTTTTAGACTTAAGTCCAATGGCTCTCTTGATGCGCGAAAAAAACTTCTCAAATGTAATCTTGCTACACATGCAGCATGCTGACAATAAAGTGACTGCTTGCTCATCTGGCGGTGCTTCTCCTGCAAGTATACGCGAAAGAGCAAACTCAGCCAACGCCCAATCGGCTTTTAGACTTTAAGCCTTCTTCTCCGTATCGCAGGCAAGATCTAAGGGATTTATACCCACATCACCGTGCCCAATACGCTTTGATAGCTTCGTTCCAGGACCTAAAAATTTGTATCCAGGTACATGCATCTCAAACGGTAGCAAGTCGATTAGAGCATCGAGAGCACTATTCTTTTTTTCTCTTCCTCGAGTTTTACTTCTGTTTCTTTACCTTAATCACTTTTCCGCTCAATCGACGCTATGTTAGTACTTGATTCGATGAAGGCACAACTTTTTAAAACTTTTTTCTATTTTTCGGTGACGCCGTTGATTCAGTACCAGTTTCATCAGGAAAAATTCCACTATTCGACGTAGATCTTGGACTCTTATTTGGCGATTTTGATTTATTGTCATCGTCGTTGTCATCGTCTTTGATCAGTAATTTTAATACTTGAGCGTTTCCAACACACTCTTGCGGAATGTTTGCCATACGAAGTGCCACTTCAAACGGATCACGGCCCACTGGTATGGATTTTTTCCTGTTCCTCAAGGCATCGCTCACCAGATCGACAATGTTTGACTGTGGTATGCGAACGCCACCTATGATGACGGTATGTTCATTATTCCACTCAAAGTAACCAGTAGCGCGAAATCGTCGTTTGAAAAGTGCAGCTTTTTGACGAAACTTTTTCGGTACGCTTTCGATAACCTCGGTATCCTGCTTTTCCTCCTCTTTACGCTTCTCTTCGTCCTCGTCAACGTCGTCGTCAGAGGGATCGTAATCTTGCAATACCTTGGTGCTCTCCGTGATCGTGTCAGTATGTCTTTTTTTTTCGCCGTATAATTCTCTAAGGAGCAAATATCGTTGTAAAATTTGTTGGTATTTCTTCCATTTTTCTCGCACATTGGTATATGGTAAATTCAAGATGTCGTTCATTTCTGCTTCGAGCCGACTCATTGTTGTGCCCAGCGTTTGCACAGACTTCAGACCATCGTTGAGGAATGCGCTTCGCAATTGATCCACGCTTTCTTGAGGCAGAAGAATCACTTTTTTTGCCTGTTCCATGTTTGTTACAGCATCGACAACACCGTTCCCAGGAGTGGACCCAACAAAGCAGGTAAGAAACTTCCTCCCTAATGTACCATGATTTTTTTCTTTGACGATGGATGAATTTTTGCGTTCACGAGCTTTCTGAGAACGCTGGCGTGTCGACGCAAGCGTTTTTTGTGCGCTGCAGTTAGTGAAACGTTTCCTTCGAGGATGTTCAATGCACACTCGCAAATGTTCTTGATTAGAGTCTTATCTGATTTGTGCAACAGAGCTCTCTGTTGTTTGGTGTCGAGATGTTAAAGAGCTCTCAAAATGGCAACGTGTTTTTGACCAAACGGGGAACGTGACTTTAGTGCCATTACAACGATACGACTGGAACATGGTTCGCCGTGTCGCCTCCTTTCATTTGTTTCTTAGCCACGTATACGTACAGATACTCGTCATCCGGAAAAAAACAAGTTCAAAATCAACAATAGTCCGATGTATTTTGTTTGAGATCCAATAAAAGGTAACCAAATGGCCAGGAAGTAGCGTCCCAATAAGCTTCTTGCAAGAACCGAAGATTTTCCGGACACACTTGTCTCGAAAGATGTTGTATTTGCGCGCGATCTCGTGAGCTTCTAAAGATGACAATATATTGCGAGCTTAGCGATATATCGTGTTGACCCTTACCTTGGTGAAATATACGAAGAGACAATTTACAATTTTTCACCCATCTTTTTCTCGTCCTAAGCTGTGTAACGGTTCCAGAGTTGCATCTAGTAGGTAAAATTTGACAAGATTTTTATTGGTGCTATTGAATTTATTGTAGGATAAACCGTATTCAAGATAAATTTTTGTTTATACCGAAATCAAATTTTTTGGTTAGATTTGACGTAACTAAGCTGTTTTGCGTTGCTTTTTATAGCCACTGACACTATATCAAATGGATTTCATCAATGAATTTCGTCTCAAATATCGATTAAAAATTGAGTTTATTGGTATTTCCACCCTGTGTAGTGATCATCGTTCTTGGATCACTAACAAGATAACTAATGACAACTTCACTCGATTACATACGTGTTATCAATATGGTATAGCGTTGCCGACTTTATCTCCTGCTGATCTATATTTTTTATCAAATCACTTAGCCAAAACATTATTTTTTATTTCTGGTGCATCGGCTGTGCCCACGAGTTCGTTGAGAGCTTTTCCGAGCTGGTGAATTATAACGTAGCCAGCTCCCTTTGTGAAATCACCACTTGTGTGTTGAAGAAGACTCGTTATACTCGTCAATTTTGCGCAACACTTTTAGCAGTAATGCTCCCATAGATGTTTTATTAATGATTACCGCATGGTAAACGTTGATAATGGTCTGCCAAATTATGCTTGTGAATAAATCTATTGGCGTGTACATGATTTATTATCCTTGTCACTTTTTCCCAAGACATACAGTGGTGTTGCTTACAAAAATTGTTTTGTCAAAGTTTACCGCGTGGTAAACTTAGATAATAGGCTGCCGATTCGAGCTTGTGAGAAAATTCCCTTGCGTTTTTATAATTTTTTGTACTAGACATTTTTTTGCCAAATACATTGATGGGTGTTGTTCAAAATAAAAAAAAAATATTTTATCATAGTTTACCGCATGGTAAACTTAGACAATGATCTGCCGAATCGAGCTTGTAAATAAATCTACTTGCGTCTGCATAATTTCTTGTTTCTATCATTTTTTCCCATGACATACAGCGGTGTTGCTTACAAAAATTGCTTTATAAAAGTTGACCGCATGGTAAACTTAGATAATAGGCTGCCGATTCAAGCTTGTGAGAAAATTCCCTCGCGTTTTTATAATTTTTTGTCCTTGTTATACTTTCGCCAAATACATTAATGGGTGTTGTTTATGATAAAAAAAAAAATTTTATTATAGTTTACCACGTGGTGATTTATAACGTAGCCAGTTCCCTTTGTGAAATCTCAACTGAACCCCTCCACCGTCTTCAGGTACTCATGATTTACAAGCTTGAATTGGCAGACCATTATCTAAGCTTATCATGTAAACATTGATAAAATATTTATGGTGAGCAACACCGCCTAAAGTCTTGTAGTAAAAATCAAAAGTATAACAATTCATAGGCACCCAAGCAGAGTTCTTTACATACTTATTTGGCAAGCTTACATCATAGTTTGTCATGCGGTAATTTTTGATAAATTATTTTTTTTATCATGAACAACACCCATAAACGTATTTGGCAAAATTTTATAATTTTATCATAGTTTACCACACGGTAAACTATGATAAAATATTTTTTTTTACCATAAACTACACCCATCAATGTATTTGGAAAAAGAATGTCAAGGACAAAAAATTATAAAAACGCAAGGGAATTTCCTCACAAGCTCGAATCGGCAGACAATTATTCAAGATTACCGCGCATTAAACATTGATTAAATATTTTTTGTAAGCAACACCACTGTAAGTCTTGGACAAAAAAATGACAAAGAATAAGAAATCATATACAAGCCAATAGATTTATTTACAAGCTTGATTCGGTGTACCATCATCTAAGTTTACCACACGGTAAACAATGATAAAATATTTATGGTGAGTAACTCATCTAAAAGTCTTGCGTAGAAAAATGACCAACATAAGAGTTCATAAACACGCGAGAATAATTCTTCACACGCTTTAATCAGCTGACCATTATCTAAGTTTACCACGCGGTAAACTTTTATAAAACAATTTTTGTGAGCAACACTGCAGCATGTCCTTGGGAAAAAAAATGACTTGGATAAGAAATCATAAGCACGCAAGTAAATTTATTTACAAGCTCGATTTGGCAAACCATTATCTAAGCTTACCACGCGGTAAACTATGATAAAAAATTTATGGTGAGTAACTCATCTAAAAGTCTTGCGCAAGAAAATAACCAACATAAGAGTTCATAAACACGCGAGAACAATTCTTCATAGGCTCTAATCAGCTCACCATTATCTAAGTTTACCACGCGGTCAACTTTGATGAAGCAATTTTTGTAAGCAACACCGCTGTGTGTCTTGGAAAAAAGTGACAAGGATAATAAATCATGTACACGCCAATAGATTTATTCACAAGCATGATTTGGCAGACCATTATCAACGTTTACTATGCTGTAATCATTGATAAAACATCTATGTGAGCATTACTGCTAAAAGTGTTGCGCAAAATTGAAGAGTATAACGAGTCTTCTTCAACACACAAGTAGTGATTTCACAAAGGGAGCTGGCTACGTTATAATTCACCAGCTCGGAAAATCTCTGAACGAACTCGTGGGCACAGCCGATGCACCAGAAATAAAAAATAATGTTTAGGTTAAGTGATTTGATAAAAAATATAGAGTAGTAGGAGATAAAGTCGGCAACGCTATACCATATTGATAACACGTATGTAATCGAGTGAAGTTGTCATTAGTTATCTTGTTAGTAATCCAAGAACAATTATCACTACACAGGGTGGAAACACAAATAAATTCAATTTTTAATCAATATTTGAGACTAAATTTATTGATGAAATCCATTTGATATAGTGTCAGTGGCTATAAAAAGCAATGCAAAACAGCTAAGTTACGTCAAATCTAACGAAAAAATTTGATTTCGGTAAAAAAAAAAATTTATCTTGAATACGGTTTATCCTACAATAAATTTAACAGCACCAATAAAAATCTTGTCAAATTTTACCGACTAGATGCAACTCTGGAACCGTTACACAGCTTAGGACGAGAAAAAAATGGGTGAAAAATTGTAAATTGTCACTTTGTATTTTGCGTGATAAAAATTACTCTCAAATTGCTATGATGACTACCTTTAGTAAATAAGTTGACGATACCGCTACTACTGGATGATTAGTGCATGAAATCGTCAATAATAACCTGTTTTGATTTATGATCGCCTACCCAATCGTTGTTTCGTGCTAATCCCTCGTGAAACTCAATATTACTCCCGAGATTGTGGTAACCAGACTGCCACTTATCGTAACAAAAAATGACCCGCTCGAATCGAGTAACACTCATACGGACAATTTGTCGTTAAAACTGTCCAACTAAACTCTGTCGAAAAGCTGATTGACCACGGTAGGGGCCTCCGTGGACCGCTCGCAAAACCGCAAGTGCTTTTGGAAGGCTTGCGCAAAGGCGGCTTACGCGACCAATCAGCTCGTTTCGTCGGTTCAACTGCCAATCGAGCTCTTTTCGCCACCACCGCCACCGCTGCGCCCCACCATCGCTCATGGATGGCGACCAATCGGCTTGTAACGTCGTGGTGGTTGGAGCACCTATTGCGCATGATCAAGATTACCTTACAACAAAGTTTCCTCCTTATTTGTGGCAGTTTTGAGGTTGAAGTCACACGAGTAACTGACATCAAGATGATTTTTCTTCAAGGTTAAAGTTTCGTGGTAAAGAATGTGGTGATGTCACAGTTTTCGAAATATGTATCAAGTTTCATTAAACATTCGTTGAAACTCGTCGGTTTCAAAAATGTGCTGACGCGAGTATAAAGTAATCAAATAAATTTTTCGGTACGTGAGAATGATTTTTGTATTCATGGTCTAAGTTTTGTGGTGAAGAATGTACTGATGTCATCTTTTTTGAAATATATATCGTATTTCATTAAACATCCGACGCAACAGCGATACGAGTATCAGGTAATCAGTCACATTTTGACCTAGTATAAATGAATAATGTGTTGGTCCTGAAAAGGACCGATTTTTGCAATTGGATTAACTGTCTTTCGTGACTCTGTATCCATTTTTTTTCGGATTCAGAAAATTATTTTGGGAAACGTATTTCTTATTTTTTTTCTCACGTGATTTTTCTATAACCGGTTTTTGACAATCATCATCATCATCATCATCGTTCCTAGAGCTCGTCAATGTAGCGTTTGCTTTGCTATGTTTCGAACCCATCTTGTCGTTTACTTGTTGATGCATCGGCTGTAAAAAGGGAAATGTACCAACCAACAGTTTTGTCGTACCTTGACCAAGTGAGTGTTTTCCCCTACTC